CCGCCTCAGCAAGTTGAATACAAGAACAAAATTGGACACTTATAAACTATACAGGGTTAGTAAAAAGTACTGCAACACTTAAATATCTTCAAAACTGCTTAAGCTGCGTTCACACAATTCGGAATCTGATAGTTTTTAGGCATGCGGAATTCAACAGTGCTATTGGCAATGTTGTCAGATTTCCCAGTTTTCCGCTACACGTAGTCTTTTTGTTATCTTAAATAGAATGCCCCATTTATTTTTATTGCAATGAATTGTGCGTGCCAAATTTGATAAGACTACAAATTTTTAGAATTCTATCTTTACTAGTTGTTGAAATATGACAACACCGTATTTTCGGTGAAACGTATCGCAGCGCTTGAATATCTCGGAGCGGAATTCACCCGTGATATCGGCATTGTTGCCAGATTTCCCAGTTTTGCGCTACACGTTGTTATCTCGGATAGAATGCCCCATTAATTTTTATAGCAATAAATTGGACTTGTCAAATTTGATAAGATTCCAAATTTTCAGAATTCTATCTCCACTAGTTGCTGAAATATGCCAACACCGCATTTTCCGTGAACGGTATCGCAACGTTTGAATATCTTTGAAACCCGCTTAAGCTCGTCCACTGAATCCTGGGGATTTATGGGCAAGCGAAATTCAACTGTGATATCGGCATTGTTGCCAAGTTTCCAAGTTTTGCGCTATACGTAGTCTTGCTCGTGGCTTATATTTTTTTTTTTTAAATACACGTTACTTGTTCATAAGGTATTCATATTTCCGGGCGTTTCTGATAACTTTGCGGCTCCTTCTGAAATAGGTAGGAAGGTAGATAACTATCCTAAAATGATTCTCACTATAGTAGTATCTAACAATACAAGAAGCATATTGAAAATTTGAAATCTCATTAAAATTTGGATCAATTCATTGCAATAAAAATAAATGGGGCTTTTTATTTAAGATAGCAAAAAGACTACGTGTAGCGCGAAACTGGAAAACCTGACAACAATGCCGATATCACAGCTGAATTACGCTTGCCCATAAATTCTCAAATACCGAATTTTGTGGACGAACTTAAGGGGGTTTTAAAGATATTCAAGCGCTGCGATACCGTTCACTGAAAATGCGGTGTTGGCATATTTCAGCAACTAGTAGAGATAGAATTCTGAAAATTTGGAATCTTATAAAATTTGGCACTTCCAATTCATTGCAATAGAAATAAATAGGGCATTCTATTCAAGATAACAAAAAGACTACGTTTAGCGCAAAACTGGTAAGTCTGACAACAATGCCGATATCACGGTTGAATTTCGCTTACCCAAAAACCCCGAGATACCAAATTTCGTGAACATGCTTAAGCGGCGTTTGAAGATATTCAAGCGTTGCTATACTTTTCATCGAAAATACGGTGTCATATTTCAGCAACTAGTAGCGATAGAATTCTGAAAGTTTGGAATCTTATCAAACTTGGCACGCCCAATTCATTGCAATAAAAATGAATGGGACATTCTATTTAAGATAACAAAAAGACTACGTGTAGCGCAAAACTGGGAAATCTGGCAACATTGCCAATAGCACTGTTGAATTCCGCATGTCCAAAAACTGTCAGATTCCGAATTGTGTGAACGCGGCTTAAGCAGTTTTGAAGATATTAAAGTGTTGCAGTACTTTTTACTAACCTGTATATCCGGCCTATTCTGACATATGGTGCTTCAGCCTGGTACACCACGATCACTCCAGACAACCGCCTTCCACTCCTAAGCCTGGAAAATCGATTCCTTCGGAACATCATGAACGCTCCATGGTTCGTCAGGAACACTACACTCAGAAGAGACTCCGAGCTTCAACCAATAGATCGACACATTAAAGATCTTTGCGATAATCATTTCGTCAAAGCCGACCACTCTGCAAACCCCCTGATCAGGGATAGCCACACCCCAGCCACCCTCCCACCCGGACAATCCACACCCTACCAGGAAATTACACACAGAGGTAGACATCTATCTACCTCATACAGGATCCGACATGGCAGGATCATCACAATCACTCTACATAACATGACCAGGGAATCCAGAACATCTTCTACCATAAACATGGGAACATAAAGTTACCATACTTCATACTTTTCCCACAAACAAAAATTCAATTTAGCCAGGACAAAAAAAAAAAAAAAACACGTCGAATCCAGTCATCGGAGGAACACGGCAGAGAACACTTCGTCCTCTACCACACCGCTTCTGAAGATGTCTACCGCAGCAGTAGACGAAACGTTAGGTAGAATTACTAATGGACCACTGCAATATAGCCCGGAAAAAACTTTTTTACTAGTTATTTGTTTGTTTTCAAGGCCTCGGAATTTAAGAAGTCGTGAAAGAATTCTAAGTACCTAATCAAAAGATTTATTTTAATAGAATAATTTAGTGAATTTAAGGAAAAACTTTTAGTACATGTAGAAAAATTCAGACTTTAGTATCTGACAATTTATTGTAATGACTGTGATTTGCTAAAAGTATAATCATGATTATTCCACTCATGTGTTAGAAATCCCATAAGACAAGTGACGATTTTCAGAATTACAGCGATAATTCTCTTTTCCATTTGTTTAACTAGAGAGAATTACAGCGAAAATTCTGTTCCGAATTCTGTTCGAATGTTCTATTTCCTCTTAGATATTTCTGCATTCACCACTCAGAGTGGTCAATAATGCTGACCCTTGGACCAATGTCTAATATAGACCCTATTTGAAAATCCTCTCTTTACGCTTTGTCCTGCAGAGCACAGAAGGAATAATTCCAAGTCTTACTATTTTAGATACGTAGGCGTAGGGCTTCCAGAACCGATGACGATAGTTTTTTAGGCGTTTGGCATAGTTCTCCATCCTCTCTCCATTTAGATAATGGACATTGTGGAATTTATCGCTAAGGTTATACCTAGGTATTACCTACCACATATTATGATGTTATTGGATGGATTGGATTTTTAAAAAACGAAAATCTTGCCACATCAAAATCACCAATTCTTGCATAATAACGAATTAGATTATCCATCATAATATGCATGTTCGTTCGAACTGTGGCTTCCTCAATAATCCCACGAAAACACAAAAAAAAAAAAATTGTAATGCCGCGCACGAATAATCCAGAGGATTACGATTACGACGCCTCAAGCGTTGCGCGCGAATACTTTTGAGGAAGATTGAAAACCGGGCCGAAGCTGCTGGCTGCAATGTGCTGAAATCTCCTAGTATAGTGCTGAAATTTCAGTCAGTTCAGTCGTTTCCAGGAACAGCAGCAGCGCCAAGCCTGCTGGAAATCGAGTAGTTTTATTGGCTTGTTGAATCTTGACCGTCATCGAGAAGAAACTGCTTTCTTTGTATTTTTTGAGGTAAAAAAGTTTTTTTTTTTTTGTTAAATGTTTTTGCTAGCTAGGTTTGAGACGTAAAAATGTCCAGTTTATGTTTTTTTCACAAACATTAATGAATGTTTACTTTTGGGGGTGACGTATGATTGATGGTTCGGAATCCTCGCTTAGTAGAATCAATAGTTTCACATATAAGTATAGACCGTTATAAATAAAACTCTGGTTTATAAATGAACAAAAATACAAAATTATTTCTCATCGAATCACGCGAATGCCTACATTATAGAGAAAAGTTTAAAGACTTACAGTTTGTGTAGGACTGAAAGAAAACTAAATAGAAACTGGTAATTTTTTTGTACGATGATCATCTGGTTGTATTTGCGATCAATCTGACTATGAACACAGACATCAAACCGTATAACATCGATAGCAAAACCCATAACTACAAGCTGCTCGTAAATAGTATTTGAAACAGTTATCTGCTCTTGGACTTATGAAGATGAAAGCGTCAAAAATTGAAGAAGAAATTGCAATTAATGAGATACTTTTCTTGGATGTAAGACATATAATATATGAAATATAAATTGGTTAAACTACATATGTATGTAATGTTGTTAGGCACCTACTTACTTCACTTTAGTGTTTTACATATTTCTCTATTGTGCAAATCAATATGCTTTTGGACAACTGCAGATTTTTCAGAATAAAACTGAGCCTGATAATATTTTTATTTTGAACCATATACTTATGTAATTTTAACATTCCTTACTGGTTTGAAGGTTCGAAAATGTCACTTTACTTTTGTTTACTTTAAAGCAGGCCGAAAGTGACTGTTCTCCTGTCACTTTCGGCCTGGAGAACTCACTTTCGGCCCTGGGCCGGTATTCTCGTTCTCGAAAACGCTCAACGCTTTTCAGTCGCTCGGCACTTTCAATGTAAATTTTCATTTAAAGTGCCGAGCGACTAGAAAGCGGTGAGCGTTTTTGAGAACCAGAATACCGGCCCTGATAAATTGTTCTTTCACGCCCAAACACAAATCCAGGTGCAATGTTTGTATTTAGAAGTAGATGTCACATGTGTTTATATTGTGAAATTTCATAAGATGTCGATGTTGGTGTCAGATTGTCAGTCAAAATTCCATTTTTGTCATTCTTTCACCTTATTTTTTTCAATAATAGACCTATCTATTTTACCAGACAAAGAGGTAATAATACGAAAACTTTATTAGATAGAAAAAGACGTAGAACGCTTATTGCGCAAGACGAGGCAAAACGTACCAAATTATGTTAGACTTACGTATAGCAATCCGTTCTTATTATTTGCACGAGATAAAAAAGGAAGGAGGAGAACCGCGTGACGTCCAACCTATTTGTCAATCAAAAACACAAACAATTGAAAATCGACCACTTGTCAAGCTACATCAAGTTGAATATCAACCATAATTTTATCCTTGTCAGACTACGGGCAATGAACAAGGACAAGGAGATGCCCAGCATGCAAAAGGATTACTTCACACCTGTACTAGTTAGCCAATAAAAATGCATTGCCTCGTGTTGCGCGCGCATACAGGTAATAATAGATAGGTCTATTAATGGTTCAAAATAAAATAGTATACATTATTCGGTGGAAAGTTTTCACATTATTGTCTCGAGAATGAAACACTTTCCACTTCCGCATGTAATATACTATTTCTGTGGAAACAGTTTGATACACAACATTATTAACGCTGAGTAAATGTTGAAAATTGAATATTTTACCCAAACTTATTATTTATCTAGGTATACAACTGCATTATTTTGAACTTTTTGCATCCTGGTTCTCAATTTTGTTCTATTTCTCTGTAAGTGAGTTCTCCTGTCCTTTCTCTTCTTAGATTTTTCGCATTTTTGTTTGGAGTATCTTTCATCTACCTACCAAAAAATATTGTTTCTGCCTTTCCTCTCCTTCACATTTCGTCTTTAATATCTGCTTTTTATCTATCCAATCACTGTGATATTTAAATATAGAAATCAAGCTTAGAAACATTTTGTTTATTTAAACTAACACCTCGTACAAAAAGTTTTGTTTAAACAAAACCACAATTCTCTCTCTGATTCTGTTATGGTTGGTATAGGTAATTAATTATCGTTAGTTTTCAAGGAGATTTTATTATTTTATCATGTTATCTGAATGTTCGCCTGCTTATTGGAAGTTAGTTTATTCATTTTAATTATAATTTATTAAAGTCAATCAGAGTGATTTTTCATAGTGTGTGTGTGTATATAGTGCAAACTCAAATTAATTGGATTGTTTTTCAAAAATCAAACAATGTATTTGCACTTTTTATTGAGCCTGTTCTCGTTTTGCCTTGTCGGCTATGTGTTCGATTATTACGTAAGTTATTATCAGTTTGTGTACTTTGCGTTTTACGAGTGGAACTTGTAAAGATACATAGCTAATTTTAGATGATTTTGTGCAATATGTTTTCAGGCAAAGAATATTATCCAAATAGAAAACTGTTTTCCGTTTATTAGGTCATGTTCACAAATAGTTGTGGAACCCTATACAGGATGTATTTATTGTGTAGACTCTGCTTTTATGCAGTTCATTGCCCAAATTGCCTGCATTTGTTGTCAATAATCAATTTTCTCTTCTCTTTAGATTGTAGATTGCATTTGGAGTCGTTACAGCTTGTTCCTGCCGCTCAAGCACTGCTACCTTTCCAGATATTTTGTGCGTGACTCTGCTTCTAGTTGGTGTCCAAGATTTTGTAGGCTTATCCCAAAAGAGCCTAGCTTTCCTGATGGGTGGTAAAGTGCCTACCTCTTGGGGCGTTAGCCATAGTTACCCCTCCAAGGTATTTCAGTCTTTTGCAGATTAAATGTTCTGTAAAAAAAGCTGTTCAAATCTTTTTTCTGAAATGTATATGAATTCATTTGCCGATCTCCAATGAGCTAGCATCTCTGCTCCTTTTTCTATCTGTGGTTTTTCATTCCACAAAAAAGTCCTGGGCCTTGAAAAGGTGCGTTGAAATGCCTTGCTTTGCTAGTGGGTGTGGCTCTTCGTTGCCTATACCCTGGTGTGCTCGCACCCACGTCAAAGTTACTTTTTTCCTCCCAGCCAGTTGCTCAAAGATATTTTTAACCTTCCAAACTAGCTGCGAACTGCACTTGAAAGTTCCTAGAGCCTTTACAGCCGGTTGATCGTTGGACAGTATAGTATAAGCGGTACACTCAAAATATTGAGAAAAAGTAACTTTTCTAGAATTCTGTATATTTTGTCCTTTGAACCGTAGGGTTGAAATTTTGGGAAAAAAACATTTTGGTGTCGAATACGTACTATTATTACCATATTACGAATAATTCTCAATCCTGGTAAAATAAAGTATTTTTTAAAATGTGGCAGCATTGCCGGAACTTCACACTATTGTATCATGGAAATGCACAGTGTTGTGTATAATGAAAAGTGTGACATTTAATGACGATATTTCTTTATTGTCATGAGATCCGCAAGTTGTTTCTCAGATGGAGGTTTTTCAACTTTTAGTCGGTCATCTAATACCAGCTCACGGACAAAGAAGTGTCTGATGTGAATGTGTTCGGTTCGTCGATGGAACTTAGGATTCTGGGTCAATTTAGTTGCACCTTCGTTGTCAACTTTCAGCACTGGAATTGACTTTAAGTCCAGAATTTCATCAAACAAGCGTTCTATCCAGCCAATTTCCTTGGCAGCTTCGCTAGCCGCCACTATTTCAGCTTCAGTCGTTTGATATGGCAACTGATGTCTGTCTTTGAATTAGCCACGTGATTGTTCCATCAGCAAACATACTTTAAAAAAAGTTGAGGGTCCTGTGGTTTCATCGCTTCCATGGTCTGCGTCACTGAAGACTTCAATTTCTTTTGGTTTTGTTGGATTATGTAGGTATATCAAACAAGTCAAAATGGTACCTTTTAGGTAACGTAAACTTCTTTTAACTCTTCCGAGAGATTCTCGAGTTCTGGGAAACAACACTAACTGCATAGGCAATGACTGGTCGAGTGATTTGTCATCAAAAACATTAAGGCCCCAACAGCCTCTCTATATGGAAGTCAATTTGCAGTGTTCAATTCTTCCTCCCTAATTGTACATCTTCTTGCACCGTTAGCGTCAATACAGGTTCACAGTATTGCATTACAAAGCGGTCAAGACTTTTTCTTGTATAAGCTGTTCGGCTTACTTCTACTGCACCATTTTCAGTTCTTCTAATTTCTAAACCCAAAAAATAAGAAGCTGGTTTAATGGTTATTTTAAATTCTCTTCGTAAACTTTCTGAGAAGGAATCTTTTTTGTCGTTGGTTGGCGCCATCATTTATGTAATGTTTTGTATTTGATTAGGATTTTTATTAAAACCCGAAAGTTTATGATACCATTCGCATCTTCTTTAATGGTACGTTATAGAAATCAACAACTATTGAACTAACACGCCAAATTGTCATCTTTTTGATCGACTCTTGTCAAGGTATTGCCACCTTAAAAATACTTACATCACACGCCCTATCTTAACAGAACTAAACTATAATCAGTTTTAGCAAATGATAAATTTAAATGTTTACAGATGTCTCTTCGGTGGGAGAATTATTCGTCCACTTCTGGTCTTCACAATCTACCCTATGAATAAAAAAGAGCATTTGCTTTTTCTCACAAAATCTGAAGCAAATGCTTCATCCAGTATGAATAAAAGTTCAAGCAAAACCTTATACCTAAAAGTGGGAAGCAAATGCTCCAGGAAAAAGCAAAGACTCTTTTTCTTATGAATAAAAGAGAGTATTTACTTCAAATTGGGAGCATTTACTCCTTGCAAAATGCATCTGCTCCTGAGCAGATGTATGCTAACTATTTTGGTAAATTATTTTCGAATATTCTTATTTCCCGTTTTTTTTTTTTTTGTGTAGATTGTAGATTGCATTAGCAGTCGTTACAGCTTGTTCAAGCCGCTCTAGTGTCCAGGATTTGTAGGCTCCTTCCAGAGCAGGCCAGCTTCCTGGGTGGCAAAATGTCCACCTCTTGGGATGTGAGCAAATTATTTCAGCCTTCTACAGAAGTGACCAGGGCCCAGGGCAATCACAGATTAGGTGTTCTGTAGTTTTTATTGCTTGTGCGCAAGATCTGTAGTAATCGTTGTCTGATTTGCCTATTGACATTGTTTTTAGGTGATTTCATCAGAAAATGCCCAGTGAGCAGTCGACTAACGACTATTCTAATGTCTCTTTTGTTTATTGTCACGAATTTGTTCAGATCTCAGATATATGAACCTTCTGCATCTGTTGATTTCTTTGGAGACGTGGACACAAAAAGGCTCTGAGCCTTGAAAAGGTGTTAAAGCTCCTTGTTTATGGCCAGAACCTGAGTTTGAAATTTTGTGGACGTTTTACTTATTGCTAATGAGAGTTTAAACTTTAAAGTTTGGTCCAGTTATCCAGACCGACTCCTTCCGTTAGCATCGAACCACCTGTGTGACTGTGTACCACCAATCAACGGTACCACAATGATGCGTTATCCACTTGTTGTGGTAGCTTTGCGTCCTTCCATGATTGGCGTTTTTTTACTACCACTTCCTATGGAATGTCAAAGTCCATTGATATTATCGATCTGGTGGTTTAATTTGGGATTCAAGCAACAGGTACAACAGGTAATATCTTTTACTTCATTTCTTTGAAGTATATGCTCGCAAGTAAAAGGTCTTCATTATTCATATGATATGAAGTAAATGCTTCTACTTCTACCTTTTACTTGAAGCTTTTGCTTATACTTCTACCATGCTCTATTTTTATTCATACGGCTGAATATGTAAATCCTTCATCTGAGCCTCCACTTGACTCTCCAAGGATCTTCTGGGAGATATAGCTAGTTGATCCTCACAACCTGATGTACTATTCAGCTTGTTTGAAACATTTGTATCATGATGAGAGGCAGTTGATTCTGGGAAGTCGTCTTTTGCCTCAGGCTGTCGCAAAGGTTTAAGAAGTTGCCTATTACGTCTATACTCGGCCTCGTTTACTTTCACTGTATAATCACTCGGGCCATTTTTTGACCTAACCTCCTGGAGTCCATGATCTTCTCCTCTATTGCAGAAAAATCTTATCTGTCATAATACTGTTTTTGTTTAATCTGGTTTTCAGTTAGCTTATCTTAAATTTCCTTGAATATATTTTTTGGTCAGTAATTTGGAGTTAAGATTTTTGTTTTGACCGGCAAGTTTGTTCTGAGTCTTCTTCCTAGTAAAAGCTGTGATGGAGCTGGAATATTTTTCTTTGGAGTGCTATTATAGTCCAAAATAGCCAAGAAGGATTCCTTGTTGCTCTGATATGAATTTACAAATAGTCCTTTTATTGTTTGGATGGTTCTTTCGACCAAACCGTTGCTTCGGGGATATAAGGGGCTGGAAGTTGTCAGCGTTATTAGGGCTTCGCGAGACCACAAGACTAGTCTTGATCTTGTCTTGGTCTTGGTAGCAAGACCAAGACCAAGACCTAATAAATCTTCTCAAGACCAAGACCAAGACTCTCCCTCGAAGCTCTCGTCTTGGTCTTGGTCTTGAAAAGAAAACTCGACTCAATATTTATGAAAATATGCAAATTCCTATATCTACTTTATTTGTCTTTTAATTGAATCAATTCATCAAATTTATTATTTTTTCAAATTCACGAGAGAGTTCTCGAAAACCTTTGTCTAGGCTGAAAAGCAGAAACGACTCCCCCGCAATCTACAATCTACAACCTTTGTCTAGCCTGAATGCTCAGGTAGGTAAGGTAGGTTAGGTTTATTCTCATGGTTCAAATAGATTTTTTTTTTTTCCTGGGTACAGAATGGCAATTTTATGTTGTGTTTGTCAACTTTCCTGTTTCGTTAATGAATATCCTAATTTAAGAATTGATATTTGTTTGAAACGCTCTTGCTGGTAAAAATAGCCTGTGAAGACCAAATGCATATTTTTCTCAGAAAGGGAGTTTTATTTTTTATTTCTGAAGTCCTAAACCTATTATCTCTGCTCTGTCGTTATATGTTATGTATATTTTAAAAATTTGGTATAAATTTTTGTCTTAGTCTTCAAACATCAAGACCAAGACCAAGACTGGCCAGTCTTGGACTTGGAAGTAGACTACCATTCCTAGGAGAGGTTGTGAGTTTTTGCGGGTTTGTGGGGCTGACATGTTTTTAATAGCCTCAGTTTTATCATAATCTGGGGACATTCCAATATCATTTATTTGATACGTTGTACACAAAATTTGGACTTTTCTCCGTTTAATGTTAAACCACTTTTCTCAATCCTATCCAATATTGATTTCAAGTTTTTACTTGTTCAGCAACAGTGCTTCCGAAGACCAAAATCTCATCAAAATTGGCAATTTGTCCTG